AGGAGCAGGATGGGGAAAACCAATGCCCTGCCGCCACAGACCAAACTTCCTGGCCCGACTTCCTCTACTTCTTGAAACTGTCTTTTTGAATGTAGGAAATAGTTGGAAAAATTCCTCCTGGGCAGCAGCAGATTTTTCAGAGAACTTGAGTAAAAGGCCATGACTCAGCAACAGGCAGATTTGCCTTCCGAGGGCCAGGGCCAGGCTGTCCCTACACACCTCAGGGTCTCCACCACTCTGGGCCTGAGTGTTCACAACAGAGGGTGTGTACACACTAGAGGTCAGCTTTCCCCAAAGTGTGTTCTGCAGATTTTAATGAGTGCTACACAGAACAAGGTTTCCCGAAGTAGAAATTTGGGGGAACATTGCTGGACTAAACAAAGCTAAATAGGTGTTATTTTTTCCTGTCGGGTTCCTTAGGGCCTTCCTTTGTCGTGTTCATTCTGAGATTTTGCAAGGGCACAGGACAAATCACTGTTTCCCCATTTTGCTTGGCTATCGGACTCCCATTTTCACAGTAAAACCGGTTATGTTATCTGATTCCCTTTGCTATCATCATCTTTTGTTAAAACTGGATTTCTTGTCCCCTTTAAACACTGATAATTGATTCTTTACAATGCCTAAGGTATCTTCCCCTTGATAAAAACAAGTAAACCAATAACAACAAAAAAAGCTGCACACCAGTGAGACTGCCAATAAAAAGGATTTTCCAAATGTGTTTGTCCCGCTCAGGGATGACTAAAGCTGACTCAGCTTGGGCCCTGGGGAAGTACCGACTTTCTTTGTGGGATCAAAAGCTCTCATCAGCTGAAGACGTTCTGTGCTGTTTTGGAAAGTGGCATGTAGGTTATCAGTGCTGTTTACTGGAGTTAGCAAGTCTCGACTGGATTACGCACCCTGAGGAAGTCTCTGCCCTGCCCTGTCTCGCAGCTCAAGATGCAGATCCCAGTGTGGGCCAGACTGCCCACCAGTCTCCCGCCAGGACACCCCTCCTCCCCTCGACACCCAGGGTCCCTGAGGGCCAGCCCTGCCATTTTCCCGGGGATTCATGGTGTTGGGTTTGACCCGCTGTCATTCAGCAACGCTCAGGCGGAGCACTCTGTTCTGTGCCATGTTTTCGTTTACAGACACACATGTCAACCTTCCCCCTAGGGCATTGGAAAACAACCCCCCCACACCCCACACCCCAAACTCATGTAGCTATTTTGGTCCTTCCCTCCCTCCTAAACCGGGAAACCCTGACGGGGACATGAAAGAACAGTTGGGACTGGCTGTGATGAAATAGCTCTGACATGCAAGCAGTGCTTTGGGTGCTGCCGATTCACGGCTCTGTTGGTCTGACTCAGCCTAACACAGTCCAGCCGGTGGCTGGCAGGCTCGACTTGGGCCAGGGGTAGTGACCAGCACTCTTGGGTCTGGGCCACCTACCTGTCTTCTGGTCACCGCTGACCAGGAACTTGAGCATGTTGTTCATGGCCCCCATGTAAAAGATGAGCCGCAGCTGAGTGATGCACATGGTGACCAGGCTGAGCAGCAGGATGGGGCTGAACACACTGTGCATGAACGAGGGCGCTGCTGTGGGGAGAAGGCGCGGGGCTCAGGGCCGTGGAGCACAACCTACCTGCCATCCAGGGGCCAGGTGTGTGGGGGTGGGGTGCTCAATTAGCTGTGCAAATCACCCCAAGCTGGAGGCAAGGAGGGGGACCTCCAGGACAGGCCCGGTGAGGGTCATGGTGCTAGATCTGCAGTCGGGTCACCCTGCGTGAAACCAGAGTTGGGCAGATCCCTTTACCTCGGAGCCTTAGTGTGCTCATCGGCAGAGCAGGGCAGGTGGGCTGCCTCCCCTTCGGGAAGAAGTGAGAGTTGAGTGAGAGGATACCCACTAGGCCCTCCGCCAAGGGTGCCCCTGATCTGGATGCCCCAAACCTCGTCGCCCTGGTGTGGGTGTGGAGGCCCCACTGATGTCTCGGGGCCATGCGGTAGGTACCTGCGGCATCTGGCTGGCACTTCACCTCGAGGTCGACGGTGGACAGGCACAGCTTGTGGCCCTCCTGCAGCGCCGCTTGCTCCTTGGCGCTCCTCATGGAGCTGCCCACGCTGAGACGGCGCCCCACTGTAGTCACCTGCTTGTAGAACTGCTTCCCCGTGATCTTGTGGTCAAAGCCCAGCCAGCTGAACTTGATCTTCACCCTGGGGGCCCCAGGAGAGTGTCTGTTGGCACTGCTGGGGACCCTGGCTGGGGAGAGGCTGGGGCAGAGAGCATGTCTACTTACGAGTAGTCCATGTCCTCCGGCCCCGGGAAGGGCTCCAGAGGCCAGTTGAAGAAGCAGTTGAGGAAAACCAGCCCGGAGCAGCTGGCCCAGACCACAAGGATGACGATGAAGGAGATACCAGAGTCGTAGATGAGCTGCCAGGCACAGTGGGGTAGAGTGGGACAGGGGGCAGGGTTAGCAGAGGGAAGCCAGAGTGGGCAGCAGGCAGGGGGCATCTGCAGCCCCTGCTGTCCCTGTGCTGAGCTGCGGGAGGAGGCACCGCCCTGTCAGCCTAAGTGTTTGGGGCATCAGATACCCTGGGTTCCAATAATCCCAACTCTCCTGCACTCGCTGGTTATCTGGCCCTGGCATGTCATTAACCCCTTGTGCCTCCAATTTGGACGAGATGTCACCGCGTTGGAGAGGCCTTCCCTGACCACCCTCACCACATCACTGTCTCTCGGGCTCACAGGGAACAGCCCTGGCTGAGATGACTGTGCTTCTTGGTTCATTTGCTTGTCTAGTGTTAGTTGAGCTCCCTGAAAACAGGAACCTGTTAGCCTTGTCCACGGATGATTCTCCGCAGCCCTGAAGAATACACATGGTAGGTGCCGAAAAAATACTCAAGGAATGAATAGACAAATGTGCCTCCCTTTGATGCTCTATGAAATGGCTGTACACTGGCACGTGTCCCCACTGTGTTGGGGGGCTAGTGGGTGTGACCCTGGCAGAGTGCTCAGCACAGGGTCTGGCAGCATGTTAGCTGTTATTGTCATGAGCACCGTTTATTTCCAGCAGCTACATGAGAGTCCCTAAAGTATTGGCAGACAGCTGCCCAGCTCACCAGGGAGGACAGCAGCAGTTAGACACTGGGAGGAGGAAGAGGGGGAACTTATAGGGTCCTCCTTGCTCCAGGGACACGAGAATCCCTGGAAGTCCACAGGATGGCTGGCCCCAGATTCCTACCTCATACCCTCTTGATTCCCGGGTGACCAGCCCACACACACCTGAGAAAAGGGGCTTTCACTTAATGCTGGTGCCAGAAGAGGGAGAAGCCCCCGAGGAAGCCCTGGCAGAGCCACAGGGTTTGGGTAGGAGCTGGGACCAATGGACAGTGAGGTGTTTGCTTCATCCTAACCCTGGGTGACTTCCACAGGCTCCAAATCTGCCTGGGAGGGAAACAGCGGAACCAACTTGGCTAATAGGGAGCAACAGCGCCACAACAACAGGCTGCGGGCGGGGGAGACTGGAGCTGGACTCAGGATTGGAGACAAACTCGCTGCCCTTTCCCTACCCCAGCCCAGAAATGCACAGGCAGCCTGCGCTACTGCCCCACAGTGATGCTCTTGAATCTTCCATCCCCCGTGGCCCCGTGGTTTTCTTTTCTCACTCCTGTGAAGCCCAGGTGCATCCTGCCCACGTGGGAGTGGTGGGGAGGGGCCACCTCCAGCACCCACGATTACTTCTCTCTTCAGAGAGAGGAGAAGCCTTGGAGGAGGCCTCCGCACAGACACTACTACAAAACAGACGTGCTGGAAACCCGCCAACCACACCCTCACCTTGATTCCCGGGAAGGTGACTGCTGAGGAGGCATAGGAGCCAATCATCAAGGCAATAAATGTGGACCGAAGGTCTCCAAACATGTTGGGCAGCTGAAAGATAAGAAACAAGGAAACCTCAGCGGAGAGACTCACAGAGGACAGGTGAAGGAGGAGAACAGAGAATCAAGGCATTGTCAGGCCCCTATCTTACCCGCCCCTCTTCCTGTGTGAGTCACCCAGGTTTAGTTCACGGGGGATTACTGCTAATTGAAGTTTTTCCTTCCTGGACTGACTTTGACAGCAAGGAAGGAACATAAAGCAGAAATTGACTCCAGACATACAGACAAAGTTGTTTGACTTTCTGGGGTAGGCCAGGGGCCTTGTTGTCTTTGCAGGGTTACAATGAGATGCCAGAGAGCAATGTTATGAGCCTCAGGCATCCCTCACAGGGAGAAAGCCTGTTAAAAATAAGAATCTATTTGGGGATAATAGCATCATTTTATAAATAAAAATATCAGCGTCCCAGAAGGACCAGATGTCAGCAAAAGCTGCTTTCGGTTTTGAGAGGGTAGGTTTCTGGAAGGTGCCAATCAGAATTCTACACTTCCCTCAGGGCTGAGAAGGAAGCCATACTAGGATTCCTGCTTCTGAATTTCTAAGTGTAGGTAGGAGATTCTCTTCCCACTGGATGTTTTTGCCCAGTGATCAGCTTCTGAGAAGGCCGGTGGTGAGAAAGGCTCAGGCCCTCTGCCCAGCGAGGCCACTCTCGGCATCTCGCATCAGCTCTTGCTGGGTGCAGGGCAAGAGAGGACCCATCTAGATATGACTTCAAGCTAAAGCCTCAGTGATTCCACAAAAATTCAGTCCTGGTAAACTATTACAACGGGGTTGTGGATTCAAACAGATATGGGGCAAAATACATTCTCCCAAAGAACCAGCCATAGCTTTTCTAACTTCAAGAGTGATTGCACCACATGTTGTGACGGTTTCCCATCCACACCCACACTGTCCCTAGCATTGGGAGCTGTTCCTGGAGAGCTACGCCAATCTACTTCATTGAATTCAGGCTGTTTATATGGACCTAGTCAATGTTCCCCTCTCACATTTGTCTGGAATCATCTTTGTTTAATCGAACACGGGTACCTGCAAGCAAATTCACTGTTGCTGAATGGAGGCAGTTTGAACTTGGCTGCTTACCTGTTCCTCATCATTTCTGCCTGTTTCACCCACAATTAAAAATGAGTAAGGGACATCACCAAAATTAAAAGGGTCGCCTTTTTATTTGTGCTTCAAAGGACACCATCAAGAAAGTGAAAAGAATGCACACAATGGGAGAACATTTTTTATCAATCATATATCTGATAAGGAGCTTGTATTTAGAATATATAAAGAACCCCTACAACTCAATAATAAAATGATAAATAACCCATTTTGAAAATAGGCAAAGGATCTGAATGGATATTTCTGCAAAGAAGATATACAAGTGGCTAATAAACATATGATAGATGCTCAACATCATTAATCATAGGGAAATGCAAATCAAAACCACAATGAGCTATCACTTGATATCCACTAGGGTGGCTATAATCAAAAAGTCAGATACTGGCCGGGCACAGTGGCTCACACCTGTAATCCTAGCACTCTGGGAGGCCAAGGCGGGTGGATCATTTGAGTTGGAGACCAGCCTGAGCAAGAGCAAGACACTGTCTCTACTAAAAATAGAAAGAAATTGGCTGGACAACTAAAAATATATAGAAAAAATTAGCCGGGCATGGTGGCGCATGCCTGTAGTCCCAGCTACTCAGGAGGCTGAGGCAGAAGGATCGCTTGAGCCCAGGAGTTTGAGGTTGCTGTGAGCTAGGCTGATGCCACGGCACTCTAGCCCGAGCAACAGACTGAGACTCTGTCTCAAAAAAAAAAAAAAAGTCAGATACTAACAAATACTGGTGAGAATGTAGAGGAATCGCAACCCTTATACACTATTGGTGGGAATGGAAAATGGTGCAGCCACTTTAAAAAACAGTCTGGCAGTTCTTCAAACAGTTAAACATAGAGTAACTGGTCAGGTGCGGTGGCTCACGCCTGTAATCCTAGCACTCTGGGAGGCCAAGGCGGGCGGATCATTTAAGCTCAGGAGTTCGAGACCAGCCTGAGCAAGAGCGAGACCCCGTCTCTACTAAAAACAATAGAAAGAAATTAGCTGGACAACTAGAAATATATAGAAAAAAAAAATTAGCCGGCCATGGGGGCGCATGTCTGTAGTCCCAGCTACTCAGGAGGCTGAGGCAGGAGGATCGCTTAAGCCCAGGAGTTTGAGGTTGTTGTGAGCTAGGCTGATGCCACTGCACTCTAGCCTGGGCAACAGAGCGAGACTCTGTCTCAAAAAAAAACAAAAAAATAAATTAAAAAAATAAACATAGAGTAACCATGTGATCCAGAAATTCCACTCCTAGGTACAGACCCAAAAGAAATAAAAGCATATGTCTACACGAAAACATATACATGAATGTTTATAGCAGCATTCTTCATAATAGTCAAAAAGTGGAAACAACCTAAATGTCCATCAGTGGATAAACAGATAAACAAAATGTGATATATTCATACGATGGGACATTATTTGGCCATAGAAAAGAATGCACTATGGATACATGCTACAACATGGATAAACCTTGAAAATATAATGCTAAGTAAAGGAAGCCAGTCATAAAAGACCACATATTATATGATTTCATCTATATGAAATGTCCAGAATGGGCAAATCTATGGAGACGATAGATTGGTGGTTTGCCTAGGACTGTAAGTAAATAGGGAGCAACTTCTAATGGGTATAGGATTTCTATTGGGGGTGATACAATTGATTGTGGTGATGATTATATGACTGTGAATACACTAAACACCAATGAGTTGTACACTTTAAGTGAACTATATGGTATGTGAATTATATCTCAATAATGCTGTTATAAAAACGTGAGTAAGGAGGCCGGGCGCGGTGGCTCACGCCTGTAATCCTAGCACTCTGGGAGGCCGAGGCGGGCGGATTGTTTGAGCTCAGGAGTTCGAGACCAGCCTGAGCAAGAGTGAGACCCCGTCTCTACTAAAAATGGAAAGAAATTAATCAGACAACTAAAAACTATATAGAAAAAATTAGCCAGGCATGGTGGCACATGCCTGTAGTCCCAGCTACTCAGGAGGCTGAGGCAGGAGGATCACTCGAGCCCAGGAGTCTGAGGTTGCTGTGAGCTAGGATGACGCCACGGCACTCTAGCCCGGGCAAAAGAATGAGACTCTGTCTCAAAAAAAAAACAAAAAAAAAAAACATGAGTAAGGGACTTCAAATGTTTTGGGATCCCAGGATTAAAAAGGAACATGAACAAATCTATAGTGTATGGTCAATCAGGCCACCTTCTGGAATTAGGATGAGGTGGCCAGTCAGGCTCCCCAAAGAATTCCCAGCACACAAAAGAGCTCTTCTCCCAGCCCCCAGGCCGAGTGGGCCCTTTGTCCTTCCAGACTTCTCAGGGAGGGTCGGAGGGGGACCGGGGCATACAGAAGTTCCTTTTAGCAGGAGACAAAAGAAACATGATGTGCTCATGTGTGCCTGGGCACACCCAGGTGAGCACTACAGGTGCCCAATCTTACTCTTTGAGCACCTGCTTCCCAGGTATGCTGCAGTTCAAAGGACATGCCTCAGTTCCCAAGCTCACATATTCGGGCTGTTCCATGTGGGTTACTCGAGCAAGGCAGCCTTGTAGGGAAGGCATCTCTGGGGTCATATCCACCCCTGGGGGAACCCAAAGATTAGTTCTGCTTATGTGAAAGGAGGAAACTATTCCCGCCTGGGATGCTAAACCAGACAGGGCAGATAAAGAAAGAAAAGGACAAAAGAAGACTTAGAGCCCAACCAAAAGAGCAGATGGAGGGCAAGAACCTGGCCTCCCTGGTGCAGGGGCAAGTGAGGCAAACACTTTTGTTGCTGCAGTCACCTTTGGGCACAAACAGTGTCTCAAACTTCTCAAAAAGATTAGGGAATGTTCCAGAAAAGCAGACAGCTTGCTAGCTAGGCCTTTTCTTTCTTCCTAATCTCAAGAATGCCTTAACCCTAACCCAGGCTAGAGGCCAAGAGAACCACAGGGTTTGGGGCAAGCACATGGCCCCGCCTGACCTTCTGGAATCTTCTCCCCAGCACTAGATCCAGGACAGGAAAGAACAGAACCTGGCAGAAGAGGCTGACTTTCACCTGTCTGTGGGTGAGACCTTTCCTATAGGCCTTCCAGCTGCCCTCCTTCCTCCCCTGCCTCTCCCCTCCTGGAACATTCTCATCATCACCAAAAATATTCTTTTTCCCAACATGTTATCTTGGTCAGCAGGGCCATTGCTAAGGGAGGATAGAGCCTCAGGGCAAACCACACTATATAGCTTTCCTTGTATTTCACAATTATTGGATTTTTTCCTAATTAGAAAAATAATGTATGTCCACTGTAAAACATTTGGAAAACCACTCCAATATAGCCATGTTACCATTTCCATATATCTCCCTTTAATCTTTTTCTTGTAAACACCTACAACTTTTTAACATAACTAAGAACATATGGTACATATTGTTTTAAAAACCTTTTCTTTTTTACTTTATATATGATAAATGTTTTCTAATATCATTTACTATTCTTCTTCAACATAATTTGTAATGACTGCCTAGTATTTCCTTATCTGGATGGTCCTATAACAGATGCAATTATTTCTCTGATGTTAGACCTCAGGTCCTTTACATGTTTTATTACAAATAATATTTCAATGAACATTCTTGAGGATACACATATGTGTACATAGCTATTATTTCTTTAAGGTAAATTCCCAAAAGTAGAATCATCAGGCAAAACTTTTAAGGCTTTGCGATACTGTGCCAAAGTGCCTTCCAGAAAACTTATACCAACTGATACTCCCACCAGCGGTGTAGAGTCTGCTTCATTGAAGCCTCTCCAGCATTGTGTGTTATCACCACTTTTAATATTTGCCAACAATATCCTTGTTTTAAAACCTAATTTTTTGGCCAGGTGTGGTGGCTCTCGCCTGTAATCCTAGAACTTTGGGAGGCCAAGGCGGGAGGATCATTT